ACTCGCTCAAAAGCGAAACCCACATTCAGCCAACCATTCCATTGATTTTGCGGAATCTCTGCTGCAACAACAACAAAAGAAACAACAGCAACAACAACTCATAAGACTACAACATACAACATAATAATCAACAGTGAGTGAAGTAATTGGAGCTCCAGCCGCGCAGAGCTTGTAGAGTTCAACAGCAGAGAATCCCAGTGTGGAGCAGGGGAGTTGGGTGCCGTCCGCGTATAAATCTCGAATAAAAAAGAAATTCATCTTCATAAAACGAAAAAAAGTATGTACATATATGTATACATGTATAACCGGCAGCGGCTGTTAATGCAGCACTACCAGAGACCCGAGACCAGAGACCCACAGACCAGCTGGGAGATAGTTTACTCACGATAATCACACCAATCCAAAAAGCCACACAGTTGCCTCAGTTGCCACAGTTACCCCCGGTTAAGCCCGGACTCGTTCCACTCGTCCCACCCTTCCAGAGCTCACCATGAAACGTCATAAACACTTGAAAAACTGTTCAAATTTGATGTGCACCACTTGCAAGTCGAGCGGCGGCCGACAGTTCGATTTATGTTCCGTTCCATACCCTCTTCCCAAAAAGTACACCAAAAGGGGTATATTTATAACGATTGTTACAGGCAGCAGTTGCTTACAATAAGTCCAGCAACATATTCTCTTAAGGGTATTTTAACTTCGGCTTACTGAACATAACTCCCTTCATTTTTCCCCTTTTTTCATATTTATTGACAACGCCTTTGGATTTGCGGCGGCTTCTTTTGGTGTGGCGATCTTGGAAAGCCGCTGCTGCTGCTTGAAAATTACATTTAATGTGTTGTTGCACAGATTTTGGCTTTCTTTACTTATGTTTTTTTTTTTGAGTGCTGTCGATAGAGGCGTGAACCTGTTGAAATACGTAGCCAGAGATTGTGTGTGCCCATAGTCCAGCATCCGTTCTGGCCGTGGGCTGTTTGTCTGTGTGCCGGCCGTGCCGGCCAGAACTGATTTGGCCAACGCATTTTGATTTTGTTGTCTTGGCCCACATCAATAAAACAACATAATTATTTATTATTGCGCTCAGAACCTGTCGATTTATTTCTATTTTATTACATATTTCAACGTATTTTGCTTTCGGGCTGGCAGCTTGTTGACCTTAATCACATTTGAAAGTTATGAGCAATGGAGATTGGGTAGTCGCGTCTGATATCTGGGATTTGTTAATTGCCCGTCCGTCCACTGTCAGTTAACATTCGGACGGCTTTCTTATTTTCACTGCGCACTTGGTGTTTGACTACACTGGGAGCTCTTGGCTAATTGCCATATTAACCTATGGCCCCCATCCGACTGATGATGATAATGATAATAATAATGAAGATAGCTGCGTGCTCGATTTGTAAGTGCTGCTGCTGCTGTTGTGGCTGCTGTGGCTGCTGCTGTTGCTTATTTGCAAGATTGAACTCTGCTCGACATTCTGGCCAAGTGAAAGTAATTAGTTTGTGTTGCCTTCGGGTGAAAGCTGAACCTTTAATTGTTTTTATTTTTCCCTCTCTGACTGCCCTATAATCAATCAATGCTCCAGCATTCGCATGACTTTTGTCTGCTAGTTCCCTGCGGTTTTTTTCTCTCTTTTATTTTGGGTGTGTCTGGGGTGGGGAATGGGGTTTGGTTTGGTTTGGTTCAGCGAAAGTGATGTTAAGTATATTCTGTGTATATGCTGGTGATATTACAAATTTGTAGTTAACAGAGAAATTTACATAAATCAGATTGTGTTTCGGCTTGTTAGATAACAATATGTGCAGTTAATGATTATTGAAACAAATTATTATAAATGATGGCATATCACAATCCGTTTTTTAAATGAAGCTCTACAGTTATTGAAATAAGAATTATTTTGTAGCATTTTTTAATACGATTGCGTTAGCTAGTGGGCTGAGCACTATATAAATATATGTTTATATATTTAGAGGCAGATGTGAATATTATTAAAAAAATATAAAGTGAAGCTTTTTGAATTTCTTTCTAACTTTTCTATAATTAAGCAAAATATATATAAAGATTGTGAAATAGTTTATTTAAACTCGATTCAATGATCAGAAGCTGTGATAAGTTTATACCCAAGCCAATTTAATTAATTTGCTTCAGGTTCTTAATTTGTTGTAGTAGAAATCTTGACACTTAAGTAATGGTATTTCTATTCGATCGACAGCCTTGTTAAATTTATAATTGTTTACTAAACATGGTCCTTCCGGGCAGTTGTTAATATACTTCAAAAATAAATTTAAAGCTTTGAAAATGTGCTCCAATTGCTTAACTTAACTCTTGGGTTTGGCCACCCAGTTGGCTCTTCAATAATTTGTCTCCCATCGTTCGGGCTCTCACGCTACAATGTTCTGCATATATCAGATAACGATCCCTCGCTGGTAGAATCAACCCCCAGCACAACATTCCGAAGCGTTTCACGGCAAACTGTGCCAGCTCAGTCAGGCGAGAGGCGACCTAACCAGGCCGAGGCCTGCACATGATCAACGATCGGGCGATCGAGTGATGGCCCCATACCAACATAAACATTGCAACCGATCTGGATCAGCAGCGGGCATATCCCGAAAGGAGCGCGAAGGGGGCAAGTGAAATGAACATCAAGCAGCCGCTGATTGTCATAATTAAGGATGTTGTATGTTGGCATGCCAGACTCTGAGACAGCGCAGACGCGCTCCACTCGAGGCACTTGGAAAACCAACAGATAACCGTAAGAACAAATTTCCAAGCTGAAGCTGACAGAAGAAAAAAGAGACCAAGCCAAAGCTTCCGGTGGCGGCTGTGCAGGTTTCTGCCTCAGCAAATTCAAGATCAGCCGCAACATCTCATAATTGCAGTTAAGCAAAATTATATACCACGGCCAGGCAGGCCGAGATCTTCACAGATCTCTCAGCACACATAACAACGCATGTGTCATCCTCTCGAGGGCCCAAAAGGGGCAGCGGCGTTTCCCTTCTCGTCTTCAATCTGACTCTGACTCTGACTCTGTGTCTGTGTTTATGTTTCTGTAAATATGCCGGCGGTGCAGATCTTCGCTCAGCTGCGATCCACCACAATTACTCAACTCTTCTTTGCGTGTGTGTGAATGTGGTTGCGGCTATGGACAGGGCTGTGGCTACGTGGCAATCTGTGGCCAACCGCTTGCCGGCCTGCACTCGAGACAAATGTATATCATTCATCAAATTAAAAGTTCAACAGCGTTGCAGTTGCCAGTTGCCTGCCAGTTGCCGTGAGGCAACATTCAAACGGGGGTAGTTCAAGAAACTTGTAGGAGAAACCAAAAAGGGGCGATCAATTAAATATGAAATGAATTGTTTTTCGTGTTTTTTGTTAGCATATTAAAGACAGTTATCGAGAGCACAAAATTAATCCCAAATGTGGACTTATTTTACATTTTATATTACAAAAGATAATTATATCATTCCATACATTCGTAAGTCGCTTAATTTCGTCTTAAAATTTATGAGATAGAAGTTACTTTTGTAATCCAGATCAGTTTTACATGCTAGCTGCATGCCGGCATTTAGTATAACAATATTTCAATTAAATTACACAAAGGCTGAATTTGAACGTTAACGTGAATCTCGAAGTTTTAAAGCAGCCCTCGCTTATGTCAGCACAGCTAAGCGACCGCAAGTCAGAGTAACTGACAGAGCAACTGTTGCTCTTGCTCTTGTTATTCTTGTTGTTGCTGTTTTTGCTGGTGTTGTTGTTGCTGTAGTTGTTGCAGTTGTTGCTGGCATTGCTCTATTTTACAGCCGGTCTTTGGTTAGGGGTCTGGGACTGCCAATCATTGCCTGACTGGGCCTGACGTCTGTTGCTCATCTTTGGACTTCATTCACTCAAACATCAGCTGAAGAGGCTTCTCTCACTAATTCCCTGCTGCAGTGGCACCGCCCCCCTCCACGCACCAGCCAAACTCGGCCACTTGTTGGCACTGCAAGCTAAGAACCCAGCTGCAGACCCCGGGCCAATGCTTATTAAGAGGGCTTTTCAACTTGAATGGTTTCCTGGGCCACTTTAATACAATCCGCATACATATAAATGTGTATATATTACATACGTACATATATGGGGGCAAGTCGAACTTTTGCCCTTTGCTCCCGCTCCGAGATTTGTTGTCTGTATTTTAAAATAGCATTTATGAGCTTAGACGGCTTAAGAAATTTTATTGGTTATTAGTTTGTTGCCAGAATTTATGTCTCTTGGCTGGTTTTATGTGGCGCTCACAAAACTTTAGCCATTGCCCGGTTGAGACTTGAGAAATCAAAGCATCTAATGAGCTTAGCACGTGTTGGTCATCCATTTCATTGCTCCTCCCCCTCCCCCCAGTTTGTGTCCTGGATAGTTTCTATGTTGTGGTTGTTGTTGTTGTTGTCGTTGTGGTGAGACTTTAATCTTTAATTGCTTTTTGGGTTCCGTGTATGTTTGCCTTGGACATGCAAGAATTTCTGTGTTGGTTTTTGTATTTATAATGCCGAAGCAGGAGACGTTGCCATTTAAAATAGTGCTTCAACTGAAAGTAGAGCACAAGTGTGCTGGAATCTAGTTTCAAATGTTTTCTAATTGGACTTTATTTAAAATCACAATCGCAAATATTTTAGTTTAAGTTATATAAATTTGGCCAGAATTTTCAAAGTATCAATGCCATGTTTTCTATTTTTATTATATATTTTAAAGCATAAAATTGTTGCAGAGTCTGGCTCGCTTTCGAAATTAATTTTCTGCAATGCCAAAACAATAAAAACAACTTTTGCATAATACGTCTGTCAGTTGTATATCCGCAACATACACCAAAAAATTTCCGCAAAACTTTTGCGAGCTTACAACGATTTCCATTAGCAAATGCAACCGAACTGACCACAAAAAAGCTGTTCAGAGTATTTTTGTTTATTTTTTATTTTGTATGTGCTTTTTGGCTCGCTCTACTAATTTTCGTTTAATAATTTGCACTTAACTGTTAGCTGAACTTCGGGTTCGGGTTTCAGTTACTTTCATAGAAAATTCCCTTTCATAAACAAATTTTCAACTTGGGCCGCAAATTGAGAACGCAAACTGGCCATGCGCCTGACGACGAAAGTTTTTGCAAAAATCCACAACGAATCCACAAACAGCAGGGGAATAGATATATATAGCTGGGCAGGATTGCGAGGCGAGCTGTGGGGCGAGTCCCGAGTCCGGGGCGGGGCTGGCTTAAATTACGTGCGCTGCACAATAGTTCAATAACGGACACGGCACGGCACGGCATGGCATGGCAAAAACCCACAGACAGGCATCCAAAAGATACGCGCCGGCATGTTGAAATATTGCAAAAATACTGAGATACATCGTTGGAGCTGTGGAGAAAACCAAGTTAAGGCCAACACACAAAAAGACAGCAGCTACGGATATAATAATAACAACAACAATAGCTAGTTTTTTTTATTTACATTGGCCAGCATACAGCAGACACAACTACTAAAGTACAAATACTGGAGCAGTATGGCAGGAAAAGCACACACTGAAAATATTTCCCGTAGCGCTTACGGCTTTTTGGCCTGACACCACACATAAGTTATTATTTGCCCTGGCAATAAGTAAAAGGTAGATCTGATGCTCGGGGAATGCGGTGCAGTTCCTGCCAGTGTCCAGGATGTACAGCTCCAGTTTGCCAGTCAATTGTGGCGCGGCCCCTCGCCAAGTTGTTGTCGTTGTTGTCGTTGTTGTCTTGGCTGTCTTGACTGTCTCTCTGACTCTGTATCTGTCGCTGAGTCTCTGTTTCTGTCGCGCCCGCCTTTCAATACAACTTTCATGGGCCACCGATTGCAGTTCCCGCCGGTTGTTCGATAAGTTTCGGAAATGAACTGATTTAGACGAACGCAAAGTTTGTTTCATGGCCTAGGGGCCAAGCGTCGAACTAATAAGCGTGAAGTCGCCGGTTGAAATCATGCAGAAACAAAAGACTAAGAAGTATTTTAAATGAAAGGAAATCGTATTTTCAAATATTTTCTCCAGCCAGAGCTACTTATTTTGGAGCAAACTCTCTGAGGCACATCTCGCATTGGCCTTACATTGTTTTTTGCTATTCGGAGCTGGCTTTTGTTTGGCACTCCTCTGCTGGTAAATAATGGTTAGTTTTTGATTTCAAACAATAATTCAATGGCTATAGCAGAGCAGGGCCAACTGTGTAGAAAAGTATCTGCGAGTTGGTCGCATCTACTGCGGGGCCGGCAGTCAATTTGGTGGCGCTTTGCTGACCATTTTTGGGTGGCTACCAGTTCCAAACGATGCGACGCCTCCTCTGGAGCCGCACGCGTTCGTTGTTGTTGTTGTTGCTGCTGTTGTGGCTGCTGCTGCTTGTGGCCATAAAAAGTAAGACAAGTTCCAGAGCGACGCGTTGCCAGGCTGTCGCCTCAGTCGCCTCTTGGCCGGGCCTGTCAGCTAAAGCTGTTAGATACAATTACAGTTAGCTGCGACGATACAGACGAGACGTACTGTAACTACAGCTACGTAGTGTCGAGTTTGGCGGCACTTCTCAGTGCCTTTTGATGTCTAGTTGCCCCTCCGGCTTTTTTTCTAAGTCATGTGCGGTCTCCATCTGCAATTTCTCTATGCCGCATGTGTGTGTGTGTGTGTGTTTGTGTGTGTGTGTTTATTCCATCTGATATGAACGCCTGTAAGCCGAGACAAAGAGCGAGTCCAAGCCAGATTTTATTGTTTCAAATGATTTGCTTATCGTGCTTAGCCAGTATCTGTATCTGCATGTTAAGCTTGTGCAACTGCAGATACGTTGAGTCAGCTGCCACCTGCCTATGGCATCGCACAATTTGATACAAATACAAATATACCTAAGCCGTGTGAATCATCAGATACGTTGTTTGGTAAATGCACATTAAACTGCGACAAGTGTTTTTGGTCTGTAGAAAATTGCATAATTGCTCCGCACCGTGGTCAGCCCATATAATCGCCCAATGATTCATCAGTGTGCACACACTTAAGAGTTACTTTGGCTCTGATCTAACCTTAAAGATATGCAAAGAAGTGGGTAAAGTTGCAGGCAGTTCACACCATTGTTCCAATGGTTGGGCTATTGATTGCATTAGTTTGTTTTGGAAGTTGCGGTCATTTTCGGATAGAAACTGTTTCTCATCATGACAAATTTTTGCATTTTACGAAGCAAATTTCAAGAGCTGGCCCCACCTAATGTGTTTATTATTTAAATTTATAATTCTGTGACATAAATATATGTGGCTGTTAAATTTTCCTTGACTGGACTTTCGACTCTTCATAAATAAGATTTAGGCATGTCTAAAAGAAGCAAGAATAATGTAAGATATATGTATGTAAATATTGATGCATGGCTTGCAAAACTAGAGCTTAAAGGTTTTCATGATTGAATATGTTAAATTGGCTGATGTTATGCTTTTGTGTGTGTGATTGTGTATATTTGCTTATGTATGTATGTAAATATGCATGTTTTATCATACTAAACATTGACTAAGTACACTTCCTGTTAAAATTAAATTAAGATAACTTATTCTTTAATATTGCCCTTCTTTGCGATTCTCATAAATTCAAGTAAGAATTGCAGGTTTTCATGCTTCGAATATAAGTGGTTTCTCTGTTTGCTATCTAATCGGTATATCTAATTTGTATATTAAAGTAGGGAGGTGTATGTATATTTATGTATGTATTTATATTAATTTATGTATATGTCTGTACGTATATGTGTAATTCTTATTCTCTCTCACTTGCTCCTGCCCTTAATCTAATCGGCAATCTTCTCCTTTTGGTTTAAGTGAAAAAAGGACTGTCTCCCTTTTACTAGTAGATGATCGGGTTATCGTGCGTATGATTGTTAATTTTTGTGTAAGTATCTATGTATCTATGTATCTATGGACATGTAATAATATATAAGTACGATGGGTAAAGGCAATTCAGACTTTGGCAAATTATATTAATTTACCAATTAATGAATATTCACTTCAAAGTCATGCTCGGATATATTATGAATTCCTAATAGCAAATAATTGGGAATCATATCACTTCTTATACTCAAAATAATGTTTCCTTCCGCTTTTAAAGCTAACTGTGTATCATTTTTGCAAGAATCCAATCAGACAGAAACATAAACCTTAACCGGGCAGAAAATAAACAAACATTATAAAATTCAAAAGATGGCAGCGAAAGCCAATGGGAAATATGAGAGCGAAATGAATATCATGCAAGCAACATTTTTTTTTGCATGTTTCCATCTTAAATAAAAATCAGACAAATTTTGTTCCCAAGGGAACTGAAATAATATTTATGCCATTTTGCTGTTGATACAAGAGGATGTGAATGTGCCTCAATTTCATTTAAAATGAAGATATTTACATGAGTACTGAAATGGAATCGCTGTTAATCGCCTTAAGGGCTGTAAATATTGTCAAAGGCAACAGTTCTTAACTTACGCCTGCACAAAATCAATTGATTTCTTATTTATAAAGTGAATGTGAATGCCACACGTTTCAGGTCTAGGCTGTATGGAGGGTAGGAGGATTTCTAGCTAGAAAAGGAGCAATTCCACTTAAGGGCTTTGGGAAGCCAAAAACCGGCACCTTTTAAGCACTAGACAAACAAGTCGCAGCACACAGATGAGCAGGGAGAAGCCTCGCAAAGAAGTAAACAAACAAGACCATAAATAAATTATTTACATTGGCCCAACGTCAGAGCCGGGCGGCGTTTGACTACGAAACTAGGCAGCCCCTCAAGTTGGGGAGGTGGTAAACATTTTTTTTCGCTTATATTTTTTTGCAAAATCAACAAAACTGAAATGACAAAAAGGCAGTCGGCCGGCAAAAGCTGACAATGCCATAAGACCAGGGCGTCTCGGGTCTACTACGTGGAACATTATCAAGGCAAACAGAGGCATAATGGACGCGCATAATGGAGCGTCCAGGACTGGGCAGCAGCAGCAGCAGCAGAGAAAAAAAAACAGACTTAAATTGAACAACTAATAGTGGCAGCAAAAACAGCAAAATCCCAGCTAGGAGGCGATGTGTGTGGTCTGGCAGCGAAATTAAATGAGGCAAGGAAATGACCGGAGGAGCTCTAGGAGAATAGGAAAGGGAATAGCTCGGCCAGAGTATGCCGAATAGGGCTGGCTCATTGTGATAATAAATAAATAAATAGCCGCAACGGTGGTTGCCTCGCATCGATTTGACTTACGGGCTTACAGGAATATGCAAAGGGAAGGGGGGCAAAAAAAAAGAAGAAAATATGTACAATCCCTATAAATACAACAGAGGGCGTGGCTGGGCTTAAATGCTTAATGCGCTGGGCTTAAAGCTATCCCAACCGAACATTAAAGCTAATGCAATCGCGATGATTTGCATTTATACGGATTATAGAATAAATTGGCATAGGAATTTAACCATTTGCTAAACAATCGTTAATGAGGGACATTTCATATAAATTTATACTCATTTTTTTGTTTTTAGACATTCTTTAAAAAATTTGAATCAGTCCGAAAGTTAATGTGCCAAAATCAACTAAATTTTTATTAATAAATATTTAACATAAATTATTATCGCAAGCTGCAAATTGCAGATAAATGTGCGAACTTGTGAAACCAGTTGCTTTAACAAATCAATAATAAATTGCTTTTTCTGTCTGTAAAAAACATTTGTTTATGAGAACATGCAAAATTGAGCGTTAGTCTGAAAATAATAATATTCATTTCAAGCAACTCGTTATCTCGGCTTTGTCTCTGTTGTTTCCTCGAACACAGCTCAATGCGCAGCAGCCCCCAATTAACCTTTAAATAAATTTACAAATATAAATAAAAAGTATTTTTGTTTTGGGCGTCGTGCGATTATCAATTAAAACACGCTTCCCATACCAAGCTGTATATTTAATCATAGACTATATATAATATAGGTATATATGTATGCATTTCCATTAGATAATTACGCTAAACGTTATGCGCATTTGTTTCACATTGATATTATTTAATTTATTTATGAAACAAATTTGGTTTTTCATGGCTTTTCTTCGATTTTTTACGTGAGCGTGGCTGGCTGCTTTTTAAATATGCAAATCGTTTCGTGTTTTAAATGCGTTTTAAGTTAAATATGCAGCTTACAAAGGACCGAACTAGTTAGCCAGCAACATTTTATAAAAATTGACCAAATTTTTGCATAATGCGCCAAAAAGCTTTTCGAACTAACCGACTGACTGACGGACTGACCTTTTTTTGGCTTGTCAGCAAGATTAGATGGCCATAATGAATGAGAGCGACCCGGGGCTCTGACCTTAATGAGCTGCAGTCGCTAAGGACAACGTAAACAGCTCCGGACCACCGGATGGTTCAACTTGAAAGCGTATCTAATCAAATTTAAATACGAGCTGCAGTTGGCAACAGACGTTAACAATTTCAGATTCGCCTCTGATGATGTCATTAAGTGACCAGCTCATCCTCCCCCCATTTGATATACATTGACCCAATTTGTTTATTTATTGAAATTGCATTTTATTTCAATAATAACAAGTGAGAAATAGAGCAGACGAGTGAAATATAGAGAATGTTTGTGTATTTATGTGTTTTTGTTTGCAATCAAATGCATTTTGCCTCAATTATTATTTAATTTTGCCTGCAATTTGTGGGACATCTCAATTTGTCACAGTATTTTGCACTATTGGGGAATTGCTTGTGTGATATGGCTGTTTAGGTCGTAGCCTTGCCAGTTTAGCATATGAATGCGATTTGATATTCAATTCAAGTGGCCAAATGTCACGATGCCGACGCATTGAGGTTGGCCAGAATTGAGCACATAAGAAAGTGGATTGCATTTTCAAGGCTAACTGAAAATTATTCATGTATAATGTCATTTATTTTATATTTAAATTTAAGCAGCTTTTCTTTGAGGAGAGGG